AAAAAAAAAAAATCTTGATCTTGAGTAATGTAGCTTACACTTCATAATGTGGGTGGGCCTCACCCAATCAGTTGAAAGCCTTAAGAGAAAACAGAGGTCCCCAAGTGAGAGGGAGTTCTACTTCCAGACTGTTGTCAGACGTAAGCTGCAGCATCAACTCTTCCCTGAGTCTCTAGGTCTCTAGCCTGCCCTCCCACTCTGCAGAGTTTGGACGTGGCCGCCATCCACAGTTGTGTGAACCAGTTCCTTAAAATAACTCTCTAAAAAAAAACAAAACAAAAACCAACCAACCAAACTCTACCCCCTCCCTACACACCTACACACACACACACACACGCACACACACACACACACTCCTATTGGTTCTGTTTCTCTGGAGAACTCTGACTAATACAGAAGGTAAATCTTCACATTTCCTGGCTTGGCAGTAGATTCTTAGATTTGGCACAAAAAGCATGAGTGACAAATGAAAAAATAGGTAAACTGAACTTCATCAAAATTAAAAATGTTTGTGCATCAAAGGACATTATGAAGACAGTGAAAAAGTGACTTGAAGAATGGGAGTGGGGGCTCAGTTTTCCTCTCATGCTGGGCATCTGCCCCGTGCCCACCTGAGCCTGCCCCCCAACCCCGACCCCACGTGAGCCCAGCGGGCCCCTTCTCCCTCCACCTCTGCCAGGCTCAGCCCAGGGGCTGCTTTGCCCCTCCTTGGCAGTGACAGGAGTGGTGTGGCCTGGCGTGGTGCCATTCTGGGAGCCCTCCTAAGTAATGGGTTTGTTTCTGAGGCTCCAGACCAGGCACGGTCAGCCCCGGGCCTGGTTCTCATGGCACTGATGGGGTAGCCAGTGTCCTCCCTGGGACCCAGGAGAGGAGTTGGGCTCCCTCCCTGCCCCCTTCGCTGCTTTCTGAAGGACAACATTGCCAGGAAGCCTGGGCAGAGCTCCTTTTCACGGCCTTTGGGCCGAGACCACTGATTTACCCATGAAATTAAGGTTCTATCTTGGGAAGTTGTCCCCCGAACACTGTTAATTTAACCAGAACTGTCAGCTCGTGTCAGACCCACAAAACAGACTGGAAGGAATGGAAGGCTGGCCGGGGCGTCCTCTGCCGTCTATCCCATTCCCATGCAGCCCTGACCCTCCTCTGCCCCAGGAGGTAGCACAGCCCATGTTTTTCCTGTGACTTTTGAATCTTTCTTTGTGCACGTGGAATCTAACCTTTTTAAGGGAAAACAGTCCATTCAGTTTTACCAGTTTTTCTCCCTGCCCTGGACGCATTACTGAGCTAATGAGGACTCCATGTTGGATAGTGATGACCCGATCCCAGTGCAGACATGAGATTCTGTTCATTTGCAGAGAGAGACATGGGGACCCTTCTCCATTTATGCAAACAAATCCACAAGTCCCTCCGCCATTCTCTGACGAGGAAGCAAGGAGCAGGCGTTGTGTGTGTGTGTGGGGGGGGGTTCATTCCCTGGGCACCTTGATATGAGCTGTCTGGTCCCAGGAGCCCCAGGAGGAGGCACCCACAGAAGGGTCCTCCAGAGATGGGCCAGCTCTTGGAGAAGAAGGTCTGGACAGGATGGTGGGGCATGCTTGGAGCTGGGCAGGACTGTGCAGGTGAGATTGCCACAGGGAATGAATGAGGTGCTGCCTGTGGAGTGGGGACCCCGTGGAGGGGCATTTGAGCAGAGCCAGATGGTGTGCCAGCCACGGGTCAGGAGAGAGAGGGTCTGTCCTGCCTGGGGGTGATGAGGCTGTTTCCAGTTTTGATGGGTGATGGAGCATGAGCCAGACCTCTAGGAGGGAAAGGAGGCTTGGGGACAGGCTGGGCAAAGGTCAGGGGGTGGGGGAGCCACGAAGCACACAGCTCACTGTGGGGGCCTCCCAGGGTTCCGGATGAGCAGGGCGGTGGGGCTGGGACTGGCTTGTCACAGTGTGCTGTGGGTCCGGGAGGCAGGAGAGGCTGTGGTCAGTGAGTTGGAAGGACTCACTCAGGGCAGCCCCTGAGCTTCAGAGTGTGGAGGTGGGTGAGGGAGGTCCGAGCCTGGGAGTCCCGTGGGAGGTTGGGAAGGCAGCCTGTAGGCCAGGTTTGTGAGAAGTCCCCCCTGTTTGCGCCAAGGGTCCCTGAGATGCTCCTCCAGCCCTCCTGGGACCCCCGCCAGGGCTCAGCCCCGGAGGCTCAGCATCTGCGTGCATTGGCGCGGGGCCGTGGGTGAATGGGTGGGTGGCAGGGGCCGCCGGCTCTCACTTCCCAGTTCTCCGTCACGTCTGCAGTAGATGGTACACCTCTAATTCTCATAAGCCTCTGCATGTGTATTAAATTAAAACACAAATCCAAAGTTCCCGTTTTCAAGGAGGTAGTTTTAGTAACAAATCTTGATGCTGATTTATCTGATTGCAGCAGTGATGTGAACAGATATATTTTTATGATTATTTTATGATCCCTCAAATAAACAACAGCTAATCAGCTTCAGAAGATGATAAAGTCTGAGTAATTTTCAGTGCTTTTTTCTAAACATATTTAAGATTCAGTCACAAAAGGCGAAGTGTGTGTGGTCTGAGTCCCTGGCTGTGGTCTGGGCTCACCCCAGGGGGCTGCAGGGCCTCACACCATCCTGGCTTTTGTCTTGAATGCAGTGGCCTCGTGGTCTACGCAGATGGACCCCTGAACTTGGACCGCAAGGCAGAAGACATGTCTGAGCTATTCCGACCCTTCCACACATTGCTGCGGAAAATAAGGTGGGGGAGGGGCCGTGCGGGAGGGGAGGAAAGGGGGTGCTGCAGTCCCTGTTGGCCCCCGGCCCTCCTTTCTGTGAGGACGGGTGGGGCTCTTCCCCGTCCTCTCTGCTCACGTCAGAGGTGCTGCAACCTTGGTCTTTGTCTGTAGTTACTGGTTCTTAATGTTTAGAGCCCCCGTGTAAGCCCCACACCCTTGTCTCCCCACAGAACCAAGCTCTTTGTTCTTGGCCGGTGACACAGTGACCATGGGTTTAAACTGTCGGTCACATGACCGCAGCCGCTATGGCCGAGGGCCCTCTGCGCGAGAGGGAGAGGCTGGGAAACGGGGTGATGTAGGTGCCCCCAGGGCCACACAGCCTGCAGGGGAGGGCTGTCAGCCGGGAGGGAAGCCGCAGGGCTGTGGCTGGGGCCCAGGCGGGGGTGGGTGCTTGCTAAGGGGCTTTCGTGGGTGCTCCCACCAGCGTAGGGGTGAAGGGCCCAGCTCTCTTGAGCACCAGTGCCCCTCCCATGCTGTGGCTTGTCCTGGCTCCCCGGGGGTCCACGTGGCATTGGTGTCCTCAGCCCCCTGTGTGCTGCCCTGTGGGCTTGGTGGTGCCTGGTCTGGGTGACTGTCCTCTGCTCTAAGGGGTTCCCCTCAGCTTTTAGCAGCAACAGGCCTCAAGCTAGCCCCCTCCATCTTGTGCCTCCCCACAAACCCTCATTTCCCAGTGGCCTGGAGCCCTTCTGGGGGTGGCCCCTCGGAGCTGAAAGCGCCCAGCTGTGGCCTCCTGGACGGATTCCACAGCAGGAGGCCGTGGGCCCTGGTCCTCCAAGCTCCTCCCTGGCCCCGTGGCCTCGGACTCAGAGGTCTTTCTTACCGTGGCTCTGGTCTCTGGAAGCTCCCTTCCATGCCTTTGGTCGAGCTGATGACCCCGTGGACTCTTGCATGGACTTCCTGGGTCCAGCAGGACTGCCCAGTCCAGGGCAGCCCAGGGCCGGCTTTCCTTTCCTGGTGCCAGTTCTTGCAGAGAGCTGGAGAGTCCCCTGCTCCAAGCTGCCCTTGGCCCCATGAGGAGCCCAAGTGCTGTGAATCCAGACAGCAGACAGTGCCCAGCAGGGTGGTCCTCGGAGAGTCACTGGCTCTGGGGGCGGGCAAGGCACAGCCTGGGTCCTGTGACGGGTGCTTGGTCCAGACCATGGCTCATCTGAGAGATAGCTGCAGCTGCTTGCCTCACACCCAGGCCCAGCTGTGGGCATTCCAGGCAAACTGCGACCCTGGACCTAGAGTCCCTGGTCGTCTGATGATGAATGAGGAGAGATGGTGGATGGAAGAGCAGGGGGCTGGGCACAGACGGGGTGCCTTGTGGGGGAAGGGCCAGTGCATGGGGATGGGGGGGGCACTGGGCGCTGGGATGTGGGCGGGGGAGCGGTCCAGAGCATCAGAGACAGGTGCGACATGCTCTGAAGTCTGATGTACGTGATTGGAATCAGAGGGAGGAAGAAGGGCACCTGCTGGCTCAGTCGGGGCAGTGGGGCATGCGACTCTTGATCTCAGGGCTGTGAGTTTGAGCCTCACGCTGGGTGTAGAGATCACTTAAAAAAAATAAAATCTTAAAAAAAAAAAGGAAGGAAGGAAGGAATTTTCCAAAACTGAAGAGAAATCTCTGCCCGCAGACCCAGGAGGCTCAAGAACTACAAGGAAGATAAATACAAGCATACTTGGGTATATCATAGTAAAATTGTTGAAAACAGAGGAAAAAAATCTTAAACACAGCCAGAGAAAAAGGACATATTTCTGGGAAAAGAACGTAAAATTGACAGCTGTCTCCTGAGAAACAAACAAACAATGGGAGCCTGAAGACAATGGAATGATGTTATTTCAAGTGCTGGAAGAAAACATCTGTCCACCATGAAGGCGAAATGGTGAGTTACTGAAAAGCAGAGGCTGAAGGGATACAGCAGCGGCCTGCCCACAGAGAAGAGTTAATTGGAGTTCTTCAGGCAAAGGCAAATGCCCAGATACAAATGTGGAAATGCAGGAGAGATCGCAGAAGTCTGTGTGGGTGGACGTGAATAAGTGTGCATTGTGCAGAACGATCATTACCATGTCTTGTGGAGTTCAGATTACACATGGCATCGTTAACATTTGAAAATAAAATCAACGTTTTGCTACAAAAATTTTTTAAAAGAGGAAGGAGAACCAAATCACTTTGAAATTACAGTGTGAGAATTTGAAAAATTCAATACTTATTTTATGATGAAAATATCAATGGGATTTCCTTAATCTGATGAGAGAGAGATGCATACACACACACACATGAAGTTGAATCCTTCTGTCACATTGTACACAAAAATTAACTCAAAGTGGACCCAGGACAGAAATGTGAGACCTGAGACAATAAAACTCTTACAAGACCACATTGGACAAGTGCTCTACCATGTCGTGTTTTGGAAATGATTTCTTGGACAGGACACCAAAGACACAGGCGACAAAAGAAAAAATAGACAAATTGGACTTGACTTGAAAGTTTTAAAATTTTGTGCATCACGAGACACTCTCAACAGAGTAAAGAGGCAGCCCACAGGTTGGAGAAAATATTCTCACATCTTATACCTGATAAGGGATCGATACCCAGAAGCTATAGAGAACTCCTAAAACTCACCAAGAAAAACCAAACAACCCGATTCCAAAGGGCAAAGGATTTGAAAAGACATTTCTCCAAAGAAGATGTATGAATGGCCAACAAGCACATTAAAAGATGCTCAGCATCATTAACTGTCAGAGACACGCAGATCAAAACCACAATGTAATTCTTCCTCCCACCTGGTAGGATGGGAGGAAGACAAATAACAAATAACAACAAATAACAACAACAACAAAACAAATAACAACAAATACTATGTGTTGGCAAGAATGTGGAGAAATTAGAATCCTGTGCCCCGTTGGTGGGAGTGCAAAATGGTACTGCTGCTGTGGGAAAACACTGTGGAGGTCCCTCAAAAAATGAAAAATAGAATTGTGAGATGACCCAGCAATTCCACATCTGGGTATATTCCCCAAAGAGCTGAAAGTAGTGTCTCAGAGAGACGTGTGGACAGCCGTGTCCAAGAAGCATTATTCACAGTAGCTAAGGTGTGGGAGCAAGCCAAGTGTCCACTGATGGATGAGTGGAGAAGCAAAATGTGGTCCATCACACAAGGGAATGTTATCTGGCATAAAAAGGAAAGCAGTCCTGACACCAGCCACCACACGGATGAACCTGGAGGACGTGCTTGGTGAACTAAGCGGCCATGAAAAGACAAACTATGTGTGATTCCAATTATAGGAGGGACCTAGACTAGTCAAAATCATGGAGACAGAGAGCGGGCGTGGGTGTCGGGCGGGGGGCTGGGGGTGAAGTGTGTCGGTAGTGTTTATGGGGACAGAGTTGCAGGTTTACAAGATGAATGTGTTCTAGGAGTGGATGGTGGGGATGGTGGCGCTAGGATGTGAATGTATTTGGTGCCACTGAATTGTCACTTAAAATGGTTAAGATGGTAAATTCCATGTCATAGTAGTTTTATCACAATAAAAATTTTAAATATCGTCTGCAGTAATGTAAGTATCAGCTGCTTAAGCATAAATCTGCGGTTGTCTAAGGCCGCCACTGAAAGTTATGAAACATTACTGGCATGAAATGTTAAAGATGTAGAGAGAGAGTGATTCCATATTCAAGGAGTGAAGAACTTAACATTGCAGACATGTCCATTATCCTCAAATCAATCTATGAATTCTGCGCAGTCTCAGTCAGAATCTCAGGAGGTTTTTGTCTCTTTTGGTAGAAACTGACAAACTAATTCTCAAATTCATGTGGAAGTGCAAGAGACCTAAACTAGCCAAAAAGAAGAAGATCACTGGAGAAAAAGAACATTATTTACCCACTCTACCCATGCTGGGCTTTGGTTCTTTCCAAATGATGCTGGTGTGACCACGCTTGTGAATACATGTGCATTTCTGCTGCAGCAAAGCCGACAGCCCTGCTGGGCAGGGAGCGGCTTCCGACCCCGTCAACAGGACAGAGCCTAGAAACAGACCAACACGTCCGCGCCCCCCTGATTTATGACAAAGGAGACACAGCAGAGCAGTGGGGATGGTTGCTGTTTTCCAATAAATGGGCCGAGTCAGCAAATATCCATGTGAGGAAAAACGGGTCTGGATCTTTATCATAATCATACACAAGAATCAACTCCGGATAGATCACAGATACACACGTGGAAAGTAAAACAATGAAGATTGCCTAGGAAAGCAGCAGGAACATCTTTGTAACCTTGGAGTAGGCAGATTGCTTAAATAGGACAGAAAAAAAAGGGGGTGCCTGGGTGGCTCAGTCCGTTAAGCGTCTGCCTTCGGCTCAGGTCATG